GGGGGGTTTGATAATTGTGTTGAATTTCGTTTTATTATTTTTTTATATAATTTAATTAACAAAAAAATTATGAATATAATTATGAATTTTAATAAATTTTTTATTTATTTTATTTTTTTACTAAGTATATTCGACAGCCATTGGCTGTCAATTATACCTATATTTGACAACTAATGGCTGTTTATTATATAATTATATTCGATAGAAAAAATTTCTGTCGATTATAGTCATTTTCAACTGTTATTTTTACGTCAAAAATTGTTGTTGATTATGTCTGTCGATTAAGATATAATCGACATAAATACTTGTATAATCGACAATATTTTCTGTCGATTATACTGCGTTTTCTAGTACTGCTGGGTTTGTTGTGGGCAGCAGATTCTGGCTGTTGTGGGTTTTAATCTGCATCCACAGCTTTTCTTATTCCTTTTTTTCTATTTCTTGCTATATACTATCGTATTGATTAATGTAAAATATGCCTTTCCTGGGTTCCTCTTCATTCTGTGGACTTTTAATTTTGATGTCTGCTTGTATAAATAGGTAATTTTGTTTGTTAGTGTTCACTTTGGTTTTGGAGTTGATGTCTTTTAGTCCTTAGATTTCTGTAATACGTGAGACGAGGCTATCACCATTTCCCCTATTTTAACTATACCTACAGCGATGGCAACTCATTCATGACCTCCTAATTATTGCTATTTAACGAATTTGATGTGCTGGAAAATTGTTCATTTATGTGAATTAGTTGAATTTTATGACTTGTGTTGTTCCTTGAACATTCTTCTTCATCTCTCTATTATGTCATTATTGTATTTCAGTCACAAAATTAAATAAAAATAATAATAAATGAATTTATTAAAAAATATCAATAAAAAAATATCATGAAAATAGATGTGAAAAACTTAGTTATTTTAAGGCGATTTATGTCTCTACAGAGAGTAAATCAATTAATGCAATAGAGATTTATATAATATATCACCTCTAAAATGCTATAGTTTTATAATGGTTTTTTACGAATTTGCATTAAATCACCTAACTCAAAAAACACTTCTTTACCCAATAATATTTAGAAAATAAAATAAGGTAAAAAAGTAGAAAAATGTGGAGGAATTTTTTTTGTTAAGCAAGAAGAAATATTTTATTTATAAGACTTATGATCATGTAAATTCCATTTATAGGTTAATAATATGAATAAATTGATAATTATTTTGAAACGTACCCTTAAATAGAGCAATTAACTTACAATAGTTAATTTAACTAAGTCTTTAATAAAACAATATATTTAATTGGTTAAACCTCCATTTTGGTCCCTCAACTATCGTACGGACCCTTGACTTAGTCCCTCAACTCAAAAAATCCCTGATTTGGTCCCCACTGTTTACCATTTTGACCCAATTTAGTCCATTTGTTAAAAATCCGTTAAAAATCCAATGACATGTCCTTGATTAACAAAAGCATGATGACATGTCAACAATAGAGTGACACCTCAAACGCACACCTGGAAAAAAAATATGACAGGGCAGTATGACCCATTCTGCCCCAAAACCAAACAAGAAAAAATAGTGGGCCCCACCTCCTACAAAACCTAAACCCTTCTTCCCCTTTCTTCCCTAAACCCATTCGAACCTAGAACAACAATGCTCTCCAGTTCCTCAACAAGCATCCACAGAAAAAAAAAAAGAATTTTTTTATTTTTCCCAATTCTCAATTCCTCATCTTGCCTTGCCTTCTTCATCATCATCAACCAACCAAATCCATAGAAAAAAAAAAAAGAGAATTTTTTTTTTTAATTTTTTGCTCTTGGGTTCGTTCGAACCCAAAGCCTGGGTTCTGAACGAACCCAAGCTTTGGGTTTCAAATGAACCCAAGTAGCCTGGGTTTTGAACGAACCTAGAGCCTGGGTTCGATCAAACCCAAGACGCCTGGGTTCGTTCGAAACCCAGTAGCCTGGGTTTTGAACGAACCTAGAGCCTGGGTTCGATCAAACCCAAGACGCCTGGGTTCGTTCGAAACCCAGAGCCTGGGTTTGATCGAACCCAAGATGCTTGGGAAACCCAGGCACTGGGTTCGTTCGAAACCCAAGCTGCCTAGGTTCGTTCGAAACCTAGAGCCTGAGTTCCATCGAGACCCAAGCCACGCCTAGGTTCGAAGGAACCCAGTAGGCGTTGGGTTGCAAGGGGAAAA